AACTCTCAGGACTTAAACACTACCTTCAATCGAAGTTAACAAATCTAAGTGAATTGAATGGCATGTAAATTAAAATAAACTTGCAAGAACAAGATGTACTCAAATTAAATTAAATATGTTTATTGTCATATTAAACTGTTATCTACAAGTAGATTTGGAAATTAAATTATTGTAGAATTAGGATCTAATCCTAAATAACATTAAAGAAAATACGAATATGGACTAAATTAACATGCTCGAAGTTGAGAAGAAGTGTGAACGCCACATAAGTAATTATTTGATGATGTTTAAATATTAAACTTGTTGTAGAAACGCTACTTATCATAAATATTAAATTAATACCTGTTAGAAAAAGAATAGTACCTTGCAAAAATTCAAAAGCTTGATGTTCATTATATGAGATTAAATTGTTGAAGCAAATACATGACATAATTTGACTACTGGAATGATGAAAAGCAAGCTAAATCCACTAAGAATTGTGTTGAAATCCGAAATCTAGAAACTAAAATGAGTAATCACAGAAAAATTAAAAGTCTAAAAATTTATCAAGTTGTATGTAGTATGGCTGTGTGTTGAATGATAAAAAAATTTTTCTTTTGTTCTCCTCTTCCCCGCTTGCAACTCCCTCTCCATGCAATTACTCGAATCATGGGTAGTTTCTTGAAGAAGTGAGACATTTCAACAATTGGCATAATCAGAATTTCTTTCATATTTCGCTACCTGTCCCATTTTCAGCCAACTCACATTGATAACTGAAACTAACTTCTAAATTTTAGCTAAAACAAATCCAACATGACTTAAATAGGCAATCAAAAGATAAAATCTTATCTTTTTAGCTTCTTTTTTTTCCTATATGGTGCCTGAGCTGTCATGAAACCTAAGATTGCATATGGCTAAATCACTTCCTACCATTAAAAAATTTTACACACATGATATGATCTTAAATTTTTGCAATTTATGGTGTAAACACCTTGTTACACGTGCAAAAATATTTCAATTCCTTTCCACGCAGCCTACCAAGTGTCTTATTCACTTAGTTGCTTTGGCTACGAGTATGCTTAACTAACCAAAATCTTATTTATTCACATTGTCTAAAATTATTTACATTGTCTTAGAAAATAATATGATATTTATTGGTCACGTTATCCGGTTCATTTGTTACAATGATTAGACAAACTGGTAGAATGAACTGAATTTAAGCTCGTAATTATTGAACATTTTAAAGAAGTTTGTCGCGCTCATTAACTCTGATGTTGAGTCTTCTGAGCCAAATGGAATGTAGAATCATATGAAATACATCGAACCGCTTGGGAGGCGTATTGATCTGAAAATGTCTTGCAACTTGAACCACCCTCTTCTGCATTTTTATATACTTTCTATCTGGAATACCCATTAGTATCTTCTTCAGGTTGGGAATGTCTTCCAAGGAAATAATAACTGCAAATGACTTCCATTTCAAAACATCACTAAACGGCGGGACATAGCTCTTCGAGATCAGCACCGGAACGCAGCCGTTGTACAGTGACTCTGTAATTCTGGGACTGGCAACTTCGTAACCACTTGGGCAAAGGCAGAATTTGCTGCTTCTCATTAGATTCTGGTATGAAACGCGCTTCCGAAGATGGTTATGTACTCGAATATCTGGGTCCTTGTTCTCCCAATGCTTGAACACCAATGGCCTTACAGGGCCATGGTTTCCGCCAGCAAAGAAGGCTAAGATTGAACGTTTGGACGGAGATGGCCCGCCGATGAGGGTATCTAGTTTGTTAATCTTGAGATTGATTTCTGGGACTGATACATCCTTAACGGGATTGAATTCTTCGGAGGTGTTTGCATTGCATAATGCACGGATTGAGTTTTCAGCCAAATGTGGAGCGTAAAAGCTGGTTATGGGTCCCTGAAACAAATTCACAAAACACCTAATATGCATGAAAGTTAGTCTTTAAAATGTATGAATGTAGTGTCTGAATTCTGAAACATACCCAGTCATGGCAAGAAAGCATGAAATGGTCAGTGCCAAGACTCCGATTGAAGTACTGGTGTTTTCTGGTGATTAACTCGACATAATCCTTAACTATGTTCCCTATGGCAGTGAAATATGTACCCTTTTTCCAGACATAACTGACCATCCGGGCTACGCTGTAGGGAAGGAAGAAGACATGAGCATTTTCGGGATCTTGGGTTTGGAAATGTTTGTCAATCTGCAACTTGTTGATGAAAATTCCTTCAGTGGTATATAGATTATAGCATGGACCGTCGTGGAACAAAGGAGGATCCCCTTCTTTGTACACAAAGATCTTGAACCGTTTTTCCATTTCTAGATAGCTCCTGCATGCCATTTCAAAGAAAGCAGAACAGAACTCCCTAAGCCCTTAAACTAAAAAGGTGAAAATAAGCACTTAAACCCCTAGAATGATACAAATTAACCTTCATCATTAATGGTCAAAATATATGATCTCACACTCTTCTTTTTCCTTCACTTGATCTTATTTTTTCATGTCAATGTTAAGCAGATCAAATAACCCCTTAGGTGGTAAAAATCCTACCAAAAATGGTTCACATAGCTTGAAAACACTAAATAAAAAATAATAAAAAAAGAGCCTCATAAGCTATTTTGGTAGAATTTTTATAACCCAAAGGATCTTTTAATTAACGTTAATATTTATGTAAAAAAAAATGAGACCAAACAAAGGACAAGAATAGATGACGTGAGGTAAAATGCGTTAAGCCATTAATAATGGGGGTTGATTTGTATCTTTTGGAGGGTTTGAGGGTTAATTTGCATCAGGGTTTGAGCACTTATTTGCACTATTTTTTGTTTAGGGACTCATTTGTTAATTTGAGATAAGTGTGGGAGCTTAAGAGGTGGTTTTGCCTTCAAGGGAAGAGGCAATATGAGAATGGAATCTGAAATGAATGTGCATCAAGAAGGGACTCCTGGTCCCCTTTCTGGTTTTGTAGCATCTAATATTTTGCATCAAGTGGGGGTCCTGTAGGGGGACTCGACTGAGCATGCAAACAAATTTAGTACTGTAGTTACATGTGCATAGAGATAAACTTTTACATGCCACACAAATTAACCCCAGTGAGGCTTAGATGGGGATAAAGTTGAGTTTATCAAGGTGGCTCCTACTGTTCAGAAAGTTTGAAGCAATGTCATGGAACTGAATGGCATAAAAATTGCTGGAATCAAATAAGTTACCTGTGAAAAGCTTTGGCATTCAAGTAGACGGGTCCACTGGGAATGTAATCAGGGTCCTGCACTCTACTTCCATTTGCTGCTGCTGCTGCTCTTATGGCAGCTCGAGCTCGCTGCAGACCTATCTCAAGTTTGTCTAAGTTGGTTTGCACTCTTGGTCTCTTCGGACTCAAGGGAAGACTTGGTGATTCGTTAATGGATGGACTAGATGAATTACCTCGGCTTGCATCATCATCTGACTCAGTCTATTGAGTTAAGATCAATTAGAGTCACTGGAGAGTCATCTATATATATACCAGATGAATTTAAGAAGGCAAAGAGATTAGAGAAAATGCTCTTACAAATTGTTGAACTTGTGATGCCTGTTCAGCTAGTGGTGGAGAAGTAGAGAAGTTAAGGACAGCACCATATGAGATAGCTTCCTTTTTGTCACCATGGCCAACTACCATATCCGAACCCGATTTCAGTGGCATATCTCTTCTTTCAGAAGCTGAAGGAGGTGCCTTGACAGTATCCACATTAGTGTTTGAAGAAGAAGGAGATGTCATAGCCCAGCTAGACCCTTTTGTAGGCAAAAGAGAAATTGACCCCAAGACTAGTACGTATGGAAGAACATATAACAAAATTCTGAAAGAGGATGATGAATTCGCCATATAGACTAACTCAAGCATATATTCTTCCTAAAATCTTTGCAGGTTTGCCTTCTCCCTACTGAAGTTTCAAGAAGATAACTGTGTTTTAATAACAAAGAGCTGATCCTAAATAGATGCACCTCCTTCCTTGCCTCACCACTTTCTGTGATGCTTCTTGCCCTCCTATTGCCTAACCCCATGTATGAGTACAGCATCAAAGCAAAGAAGCAACATTTATAAGGCAGAAAATAATATGATTCCTTTATTTTTCTATTTTTTACCATATCATAACAGAACAAGGACGATTTTACATCAATATGAAACAACCGCCACAAACGTCCTTTTCAACTCACCATTTGTAAGATTTCTATATATATTCCATAGGGCATGTGTTTTTCCAATCTGGCTAAAAGAAATGTCAGTCCAGCTAGAAAAAGACAAATGCTTGTTAATAAACCAAAAGGTTGAATCCACTACTAAGTAAATATCGTTATATAAGTCAAGTCTTGGAACCAACATCCAAGAAAATTAAATTTCTTGAATGCACTACTTTAATGTAGGGATCTTGCTATTGGTCATTTTTAGCCTGTTCATACTGGAAAATGATTTTTCTTCTTAAATAGAGTCAGTCCATTGGCAAGAGTTTTAATTCAACCTCCATCTTCCACAATGGTTTCTCATAGATTCAAGTTTAACAGGGTCGATGCAGTTAGCTGTGTGTGATTTTGCAATTTGCAGTGTTCTGCAATTGCAGAGTTACCACTTTGAGAATAGTAATCAACTGGAGTGGCTGAAGTGCTATCATTTGAGAATATGAGAAAATTTTATTTTCATATCAAACAAAAAGACAGTACAAGTACTTCGAAAATTTACGACATAAACAGAACTGTTTCAAAATGGCCTAATTCTAAATACACACAATTGACAATTGCAACTCTATAACACATCCAAACTAGAATTTTAATGTAGATATGATTTAGTTAATACTTGGAACCAACTACAATTTCAAACAACAAAGAATTTGATGGTCTTGATTTTTGTTACCTAGCAGTTTGCTGGACTCTTGATTTCATCAATTGGTCACAAATTCACGATCATCTTTGATTTCGATATTCAGTCTTCTCAGCCAAATAGAATGAAGGATCATGTGAAAGACATCGAACCTCTTGGGGGGAGAATTGAACACGAAATGTGTCCTTACTTGGAGCACTCTTCTCTGCATTCTTATGTACTGCCTTGTCGATATGCCAGTTAATATATTCTTCAGATTGGGGATGTCATCCACAGAAAGAACCACTGCAAATGACTTCCAGTTCAGGACATCACTAAAAGGAGGGACATAACTTACAGAAATCAGAACAGGAACACATCCATTGTATAGAGCCTCTACAATTCTCGGGCTCGCAACCTCGTAACCACTAGGACAAATGCAGTATTTACTCTTTCGCATCATGTCATAGTAGGACACACCCTTTGGGAGGTATTTGTGTACTCTAATGTCTTCATCCTTGTTTTCCCAGTGCTCAAGCAGGACCGGTCTAATAGGTCCATGGACACCTCCTGCAAAGAAAGCTAAGATTGGACGCCGAGAAGGTGACGGTCCACCAACCAAGCCTTTTAGTTTACCAGTTTGGAGATTTATCTCCGGGATAGACACATCCTTGATGGGGTTGAATTTCTCTGAGGTGTTGGCATTGCATAGTGCACGGACGGAGTTCTTGTGTAGGTATGGAAGGGAAAAACTTGCTTCCGGCCCCTATTAACAAAACCACAAAAACAAGAAAATCAGACCTCTTGTTCCATTGTTACAACTATAACATTGGAAAAGCATACAAATGGTCAAGCGAGAGCAGCCATGTATCAAAATATTGGAATTAAAAGCTCATAATACTAAAAAATATTCATTTCTTCAAATGTTCGATGATTAGAGATAGATAAAGTGATGAACACTCACCCAATCATGGCAAGAAAGCATGAAATGGTCAGCGCCAAGGCTTCGATTCCAATAGGGGTATTTCCTTGCTATAAGATCAACATAATCTATGACTGTCCTTTTGATAGGACCAAAATCATGGGAGTCACGAACATAAACAAATTGGACCATCTTCGCTACGCTGAATGGAAGGTAGAAAACATGTGCTTTCTCAGGATCTTTAGTCTGGAATTTGCTATCCAAGTCAAGCTTATGGATGAAATTTCCTTCCATGGAGTATATGCTCTTGCATGGACCATCGTGAAACACTGGAGGCTCCCCTTCGGGATAGACAAAAATCTTGAATTGCTTTTCCATCTCCAAGTAGCTCCTTCAATTGCAAAGAACTAATAATCATATCATATATATCAATTAAAGTTGCAATCATTTGAAAAGTGAGCTCATGCCCGGTTTTAGTGTCAAGTTTTATTTTCTTTTTCTTTTTTCACAATTTGATTTCAAAAGTGTTTTCACGTTAAATTGCACTTTACAAAACTACACGTTAAAAATATAATTCAAAATATAAATTTATCAAAATATCTTTAATAAATATCTTTTTTATATTTTTATTAATGACATTTTAATAATTTTTATATCCAAACTTCATTCAACTTCGAAAACATGAATCTCATTTCCTTTAGTGCCAAACTGAGAAACAAGAATATGGGCTTGGATATATACTGCATTTAATTATCATCTATGGCCTCATATTTCTGTGTTTTGGGCTTTAGGCCATATCCTTGATTGTGTGGCTGAAATCTGACCTTAGACGTTATTGGATTTTATGGTATCCTCATCGAAGAGAAAGTAAAGCTAAAGGTTTCATTCTAGCATGCGCAAGGGCAAAACAAGATATTCCAATTGTAGTGGAAAATGGTACCTGTGAAAGGCTTTGGCATCCCAATACATGGGACCAATGGGCACATAATCAGGGTCCGGTAGCTGATTCCCATTCCTAGCTTCTTTTATGGCTGCTCGTGCTCGCCAGAGACCGGCTTCAAGCTTATCCAAATTGGTACCCACTCTTGCCTTTCTTGGTTTCAAGGGTAGTGTATCATTCACGGATACTTTATCATTAATTGGAGATTGGCTTGAAGTAATATTCACAGTCGTTTCCTGTGTCTCATTCTGTGGAAACAAATCCAAAATTGGAGGTATCAGCTATAGTAATTAGCCATAAGAAATTCAATTTTAAATTAGAAAAATAAAAGGATAATTCATGAAAATTCATTAATTAATTACC